GTGTGTGTGTGTGTGTGTGTGTGTGTGTGTGTGTGTGTGTGTGTGTGTGAGTGTGTGTGTGTACATTCACAGGTAACTCCATCGTACTAAGGCTCAGGGGGTGTAGTGTGTGTCAGTGTGCACGCTGCTGCTGCTCCTCCTGAGGTGTAGACTAGAGGCAAAGCTACTTTTTCTTGGAGTTGACGCTCTTGCAGACCCAGTTCATGCCCTCCTGAAGAGAGAAAGCAGAGCCGTGATACGAGCGCGAAGCAACACGAAGGTGAACGCTCACCTGAAAATTCAGGCTTTCTTATCCCCAGTTCCAGTGAAGATGGGATGTTGTATAAAACAGAAAATAAAATAAAACACGACGATTTGCAAATCTATTTCAACCCACATTTAACTCAACACACTACAAAGACAAGATATTTAAAGTTTAAACAAATGAAGTTTATTTGTTTTTTTGCAAATATTTACTCATTTTGAATTTGACAGGCCAGTCTGCACTCTTACTGTRAAGCCACACTGTTGAACACGTGCAGAATGTGGCTTTGGCTTTGCATGATAGTTATAACTTACACTTGTAGATGCAGTGATGAACTGTATTCACTGACAATGGTTGCCACCCGAGGGATCAAAGGTCACGGGCATTCAAGGTTACTTGCAGAGATTTATCCAAATTCTCTGAATCTTTTGATGATATTATGGACTGTAGACGATGAAATCCCTAAAGTCCTTACAGTTGAATGTTGAGAAACGTCATTTTTAAACTATTGGACTGTTTGCTCACTCGGTTGTTAACAAAGTGGTGAACCTCGGCCCCAGTCTTGCTTATGAATGACTGAGCCTTTCAGGGATGCTCCCTTTATACTCAGTCATGACACTCGCCTGTGAAAAATGCTCCAAACAGATGTTTTTGAGCATTCCTCAACTCTCCCAGTCTTTTGCTGCCAGTCTCAGCTTTTTTGGAACATGCTGCAGCATCAAATTCAAATTCAGTGAATATTTGCAAAAAAGAAAAAAAAAGTTTTTCCATTTGAACATTAAATATCTTGTCTTTATAGTGTATTCAATTGAATGTAGGTTGAAAAGGATTTGCAAATAACTGAATTCTGTTTTTATTAGGGTTGGGCATAATCGTATCGTGTGCAATTAATCGTCAGAAAATCATTAATCGATTAATTTTTCGCACTTGACGATTAATACGATYAATGCCACCAGGCAGAGTCAGTGCGGTGCTCCTCTCTGCTTCAAATATGACAAACATTAAAATAAAGTTCTGTAATTTATTTATCTAACACAATTTAAAATTAGATGTACAGCCTGAAGTCTGTAATTTTACACAATTTGGAACAGATTTTTATGAAGAGCAAATCTTTCCCACTAAATTGGTCATGTGACTAGGACATAAGGGTGTCCAGGGGATTAATCGTCAAATTAATCGTTATCGGCTAAACACCACAATTAATCGTGATTAATTTTTTTGCCAATATTGCCCAACCCTAGTATTTATTTATTTATTACACAAAGTCCCAACTTCAGTGGAATTGAGGTTGTCTAAATACATAAATATTAGAGCTTTGATTTATTTATTTGTCATGTTGGAACAGGCAATAAACTGCAAATGTAAAAATAAAACTAAAATAAATCTGTGCATTACGATTTTTGGAGGAATAAAGTAGCTGTTTAAATTAATTGAAAAATAAAAACAGTCATTAGTGGCGGTCCTGAGAACAGCTGGAATAAGAGGCAGAGTTTGGCTCATCTGCTCACCTGAACCCCCTCACCAGTGAGGGCGGAGCAGGACTGGATCTGCCACATCCGATCTCGGATGGTGTGCAGGTTGAGTCCCTCAGCGATCTCTGAGGCCGGAGCCGCGGTCAGCAGGTCCTGTTTGTTGGCAAAGATCAGCACAGGAACGCCGCTCAGCTTCTCCTCGTCCAGCAGCTCGGCCAACTCCTGCGACAAACGCACACAGAAGCAGCGAGGGAGGTGGGTACGAGCCCAGTTCGCGTATTTCTATCACTCTTGAGACAGGATTAAATGCAAAACCATTCAAACCCAAAACAAGACCAGCTCTGATTATCAGTCTTTAAAAGAACATGCCCAGCTGTAGAAGTCAGAGGAGAAACCTGCATTTTGCCTTATAAAACTTTGGTTTTCAAGAATTAGTCTTATTAAATTTAACTTCTGTGACAATAAACTGAAGCTTTGAGGACTTTAGTTTTGCTTAAGAATAACAGAAAGCAATATTGCTGAATTACAACATTTAAAATAAAAGTGTGCACCCTGAAAGTACACGCATTTCCTACATACCTGCCCAGTTTCCTCAAACCTCTTTCTGTCAGCACTGTCGATGACATAAATCTGAAACAAAGGTTTTATTTTGAAATTATTAATTCTAACATTATTTTGTGCAAAAATAGAGAAGATCATAAGGGAGAATGAACTGAACCAAAACACGCTCTCCTTACCAGCACATCAGTGTTTTCAAAGTAGTTTCTCCAGTACGGCCTGATTTTCCGCTGGCCTCCAATGTCCCAAACGTTGAGTTTGAAGCCCTGAGACTGCACGCTCTTAATGTTGAATCCCTGCAAGTACAGAGCGTTTAGCTGATAAGAACCAGGCCCCTCACCATAACAGCAAATGTGCGCTCTGACAGGTGATGTGGTTTACCTGCGTGGGGGTGATGTGGCTGATATCCTCAGACGCCAGCTGTTTGAGCAGGGTGGTCTTCCCACCATTGTCCAGACCCAGCAGCAGTATCCGAACCTCCTGGTCTGGTGTGCTTTTTAGCTTCCGAAGGATGGATAGCAATCCCTGCAACAAAACAAATTTCCACAAAGTTGAAGCATATTGACGTGAAAGCAGAGAGAAGTTAGACGTCAAAGTCACAGTAATTCTTGACCTGCTTATGATAAAAACCTGGTAACCTGCAATTTAAGTAAACACAGGGGTTTTATTTGACAAAACCAGCGTAATAATCACAATTTTTAAAACATTAGAATGCCGCTTTACGCTTGCATTATTCAAATGCTTGTTTAATTGTCTGAGTAAAACTTAAATAGTCTGTCTAGCTCTGTAAAAATAATGTTTTATTTTCATTTTTAAGTACTTTAGAGTAAAAAAAACAGTTTGCAATTTTAATTCAAGGATCAAGCATGTTTTGTGGCTCTTGATTTTATTTATTTATTTAATATAATGTAATGTATTTTATTTTTAAGGATAGGATAGGGTGAAAATGAGTATTTCAGTAGTTGAGGACCACCTTAATCCCTCATTTAAAAAAGGCCATGAAGGGCATCTTTAATTCATCTTCATTTTAAGTGGGTTTTCATTATGAACAAACTTTATGCTAACAGCATCAGAGCATGCTAACTAGGATAGCTTCTGTCCTCGTCTTCCTTCCAGAGCCTTTAGCTGCAGAGAGTCTGTTACCAGAACACAAACAGGAGCTGCATCAGAGCTAACGGGCTAATAATCTCCCCTGACAGAACGACGAGCGTGGCAGCTTTCTTTAGCAGCTAAACTGTTTTATTCGCCAACTCACGGGTCGTAAACTTTTAATAAACCAGAGCGAGCGCCACTGAATACAAATATTTGCATTCGTGAAGTCCAATGTTTACGCTTAACATCTATTTCCCCCCGATAAATTAAAACTCACCATCTTGTTGCCGTTTCTCCTGGAGACGCCGCTCACTGAGGGTGACGTCAGACGTAGTCGTGCTCATGATGCGTTCATGTCACACCGGCAGATTTGACAAAGAAAATTCCCAAATTTTGTCTTATTTTGCTAAAGATTTACAACAAATTATTCACGTATTTTATGAAGCAAAGTTGATAAACAAAACAACAAACCACACATATATATATTTTCTTTAGTGTTTTTTAAAGTTATTGAAAAACGTCGGGTATTTCTTTAAAAAATATTATTTTTCTGATTTTCTTCCATTTTGCTTAGTACTGATTTTTCTTTTAGATTTATTTTGCTCAGTTTTGGTCATTTGACCTATTTACATCTAGCCTTAATTGAGCTACATCTCCATTATTTGTTTACTGTTGTTTCTCAGTGATGTTTAACACGAACGATTTTAAACGAGCGAACTTGAACTCATCATTGTCCACGACTGTGGAGAACCAGTTTGGCTAGGATACATGCTAAGTATTTATTATGCAGGGAAATAGCATTCAGTTTTTTTATTTTTATGAACTACATTTGCTCACAGATATCGTAAATTGCTGCTCGTGCGTTCATAGCTACACACTCGCCGAAGGATTAAGACAAACACTTTCAGGGTGGTAAATATTAGCTGTTAGCACCGCGAGCTAACCGGGAAATAAACTGCTTGTTTGGTTTTCACCGGGTTTCACGTGGTTCCTCCTCAGCTTCTGATTGGTGGACTGCGTGCCACGTGCACGTTTTCCTACTAGCTACGCTGTGCACATTTGATTACCTGTCAGCCTGGTCGTTGTGGTCCTTGGAGGTCTCCTCAGAGGTATCCCCCACTGTTTTTGTCGCTTTCAAGTCGTTGTGTTGGAGTAATTCTGTCCGCCTGTCTGCTTCTTTTGCTGGTAACTGGTGCTCCGAGTTGCTTCACTCTCAACTTCAATCTGACATATTTTTACTCTTTTCCAGGTCGCAAAACTCCTGAAATCAAACATATTTTTCTACAATTTTACAGTTTGTTTTTCATTTAGCTGCTTTGATGCATGAAATGTTGTAAAAATCATCCAGGTTGGACTTCCTCAGATGCACCCAGGTTCTGGATGTGCTCTGGCTCTGCTGAACCTGTAAATTCTGGGAAACAAAACTACTGACTGATTTTATTAGTATTTTTTCTACTCTGTAACAAAACTGCAAAACAGTTTCAGGGTTTTTATTAAGAGGTGATGAATTACGGTAAATATTGTCTCAAATGTGAAGTCTGGATAAGAAATCGTTTTACAGGTTTGGTTGAAATGTTTACATTCACTATCTTACCTTTTAACCACCTCCTAACTTACAAAACAGCAAACTGATCCACCATGCGAGCACATTTATTTGCAGTTAAAATGTTATTCATTTGGTTTAGCTATAAATAAGAAATGCTGCTTGTATTTAAACATCTTTACGGTGTGGTAACTTTAACATGATATTTTATTTTCATCTGCTCTGCAGCTGTTTTATGTACAGTTTTGGATGTCAGGTTGATTTTCTGACGAAGCAGTCATTTCCTTTGATACCTTTGTTGCAATTCATGTTCTTGTTTGAATCACTTCCTAAAGAGTAAACCAGCAGAACTGAGAGGTTCACAGTTAAAGCTCACTTATCACGTGTAAAATAAAATGATAGTAGTTGTGCTCATTTAACGGCAAGTCGACGGTTTGTGAAGTCATCGATTTTGACCGAAAAATAGACAAATTAAGGATGAGATGTTTTGTGGTTAAAGGTTGTACTTTAATTTCTGATAAACACATTTTATGCACACTAAATGGGGCAAATAAAACCCAAACAGGGCAACAAATCTGAGTCTGTATGGTTGCAAACTTCATTCACAGACATACAGTATGTTATTGAATAAAAATAGTAAAATTTATGCATTTAGTCCAAAAAAATTAGTTGGTTTATTGTTTATAAAGCTGTGTTTTTATTATTATTATTATTATTATTATTATTATTAATAATAATAATAATAATAAACGTGCATGATTTGGTCTGTGGGAGAACATGCAAACTCCATGTCCGAACCGATGTTCGAACCCGGGACATTCTTGTTGTGAGCCGTCAGTACTAACCACTGATCCATCCAATGCAGGGATTTGCTACATTTTCTTTTTTTCAACTCTAACAAGTTCTGTGAGTTCTGGATTATTTTATTCAAAGTGAGAATCTTTGAATGTACGGAATCTGTTCTTTAGCTTCAGTGAGTCTAACGTGTTTCCTTTGTGGCTGGTTTTTTTTACGTGCTGCTTTGTAGAGCCATGTTGACTTTTGGCCAGTGTTCTGTGTTCCCCACCGGTGTCTGCAGGCTTTTAACCTACTTTCTGAAAAACAAACAGCAACAGAAACAAATCCAGTTCCAGCCGGGCCGAGCCCTCAGAGGCCGTCGGTGCTGCTCGCTCCTCTCATGTGTCCTCTATTTACTCTGCCTTCTGTAAATACCTGGCAGTAATGTAATAATGTAAAGTTCAGAGGGGAGTTTGGGTACTCTGTGCAGTAGTCAGCAGGTTTTGATTCCTCTTGATGTTGCAGGAACCAGAAATGACTGCCTACGGATCCATTTAGCAGGAGGCTGTCGACGATTTCTAATGGAAGTTTGGGACACGAGGCTGTTTCAGGGAGGACGCAGAGTTCGTGTTTGTTCAGAGACGTGAGCTTGGGCTGGAAAACAGCAGCTTCCAGCAGAGCTTTGTGGCTAAACATAAAAAAAAAAAACTCTTTCAGAGCGACTGTTTCAGTACCATGTTAAATATTTTGCAGATTTTTATTAAAAACCTGGACATTCCTAAATGTTTTACAAAAAGTTACAATAAAGCACTGGAGTTAGTTTTAATCTTGTCTCCATTTTAGTCATGCTATTTTCATTCTTTCGCACCTGAAGTGGAAACTCAATATAATAAATTAGTAGTCATTCAAGAGTGTTACAACAGTTCTCTGTATTTTCAGATTTCATCTGGATCTCCTGGCCGACGTCCTGCAGAGCAAACAGTGACTTCCAGCTAATAAGCTGCCATGAGTTTGAGCTCGTTCGACATCGATGCGCCGCGATGGGACCAGTCGACGTTCATGGGGCGACTGAAACACTTCTTCAACATAACCGACTGCAGAACGGCGCTGCTGTCTGACGCCCGGCTCGATGAAGCCAAAGCTTTGGTAGAAAGCTGCAGGTTAGGAAACAAACAGCGAGTTTCTTAAGGTGGATAAACGTGTGGCTCGACAGGGAACGTCAGCATCAGCACCCTTCCCAAACGCCTTCAGACGTTTTCTCTTCTCGTCCCTCTGCAGGGCGGGATCCGTCCCTCCAGGTACCACAGTGGAGCAGCTCCACTACGCCAAGAAGCTGTACGACTCGGCCTTCCACCCGGACACGGGGGACCGGATGAACATCATYGGCCGCATGTCGTTCCAGGTTCCCGGGGGCATGGCCATCACGGGCTTCATGCTGCAGTTCTACAGGTATCGCCTCGAGAAGAGAATGCAATCTGCTGCGGCTTCGCCACGTGTTTCACGCGGGACACTTTCGTAATTTCAGGACAGTTCCTGCGGTGGTGTTCTGGCAGTGGGTCAATCAGTCCTTCAACGCTCTGGTGAACTACACCAACAGAAACGCAGCRTCCCCCATCACCCCCAAGTGAGAACCTGTGATTCTGTAAATCACTGCAAGAGTTTGAAAGCAAAGTGCAGCTTTCATTTTAAAATGTAAACTTTACTCTTTATGCACTAATGTAAATAAATAGTCGTGTGTTTATAGCTTCAAAAAGAAAAAAATAAGTAGTTCCTCTGGATGGGTTCTTCTTTAGTGAAACGTTTCGTCTCTCCTCCAAGAGACTTCTTCAGTCTGATGAGTTTCAGGTGAACTCCCAAAGACCCAGTTCCCCGGCAAAAACAGAGTAATATAGTGTATGCTGTTAAGTGTCAGGAGGACTGTGATCTGTTATACATTGGGGAAACAAAACAGCCACTGTTCAAAAGAATGAACCAGCACAGACGAGCTACTTCATCAGGTCAGGACTCTGCAGTTTACACTCATCTACAGTAGGAATGCGCGATATAAACGATATACAGTAGAAACGTTATAAATATGTCCTATGATAGAGATCTATAGTCTACCGGCCAACCGCGCAATTCTTTTTGATGATGTAACCAGCTGGAGTCAAAACAGAGGAAGCGGGAAGCAACGTGACTGAGAGCGCAAATGAAGAGGGGAAAAAAACTTATCCGGACCTGGTTCAGGTGTGCGAAAATGAACGCTGAACTGTTTACATGTTTACGTGACGGCGCGTACTCCGGTTGGATGCCGATCGACCACACTGCCTGCTGCGGGAAGAGCGTGCGCCGCGGCACATGACGCAGCGAGGCGACTGACAGTCCAGGTGAAGTAGTGCTCCAGGACACACAAAAGCTCTCTGAGTCTGGACCTCATTTCTCCTGCGGTCATAGCATGACGACGCACGGCCGAATGCGCACGCACTCCGCGCCCACTCCGCACGCATTCAAAAGCGCGACTATAACTCAGCCTCTACTGTCTCCTTGTACAGCGGAGAAGCRCTGTGGGAAAGGCTGACAGTCAGACTCTTTCCAAAAAAAAAAGTAAAGCATAAACGGGATGATTGTCACCCCGCCGGAGCACGCACAGATTAAACACGTGGAGTGCAGAAAAAATAATCTGCAAAGTGTGTAGAAAGTAATAAATACAAACAATTTATTTTACCACCTTAAAACAAAGCAGGTGATTCCAAACACAACATCCAATGGATGCAGATATCTATTACATTACAGTTATTGTGTGTGTGTGTGTGT